AAGCGGGGTCTCAGAGCTGAGAAGGCCCATGTCTTCTCCGGGTCAGAAAGAGAGTGTGACGTCGCCTGATCTTGAGGCTCCCTCGACCAAAGACTGAAGAGTGTAGACTGTGTTAGTGTCCAATTTAGTGAGGTGCTCTTGGAAAGTCTCCTTTCTCGTTCCAGTTACAAAGCTGGTGGCTTTTTCTTCCTGATAAGGTGCACATTGATCGCAGGCTCATGGATTTGGGATTTGTTGCATTCTAGAGTTGAAAACAAGACAACTTAGAAGTTGCATGTTTAGAAGCTGATAGTGAAGCCTTTGTTCTTGTCTGTTGGTAGTTGATAATCTTCTCTTTGTATGATCCTAAGCTCTTAAGAAGTTGTTGGATTTGGTCATTTGGTTAGAACAAGGTTTCGTTAAAACAAAGTTTGTAGTCTTTTTACCATATTCATATTCTTTAGTTTTTGAATATGGAGTTACCATCTAAACTCACAGAGTAGAGTTAATAATCTTCCCGTCGAGCACTGAACCAAAACAAAACCAAACCGAACCTGTCCTTTCACAATATATGTATCTCCTGCAACTGCATACTGAAACCCTCCTTTGGGCCATGGAAGATTAACCTTTTCTCCAACTTTGCTGGAGTTGAAGACAGATTTAAAACAATGGAGATGAATTTGAAAAGCAAGCCTTTTGGTATTTACATAACAATGCATAGCATATATCCTCCTTCTCGCAAACTTTGGGGTCGTCCTGTGATCTTAGCCTTTGAGAGAATCCTTCAAAGAGAATGGAGGAAACACATCCTATCATAAGACATGAAATAGCATATTAACTCAGGCACTATTCTCGGGGTCTCTACATTGAAATAGATATATAAGCAAATACTGAAATATTATGATTACTTTTCCATTCTCTTCAGTCAAGTATTGTCTCACAACGGTCACATGTTGTAAGAGCCTTTCCATTGGTGTGTAGCCTGGATGGTTTACGTGTTCTGGACGATGTGAAAGAATAAGTTAAAACTTGTTATTTGTAAAGGTCACAGGAGGCCAGAGATTTTCTTGGAGGAAGAAAAGAACTAACCAAGAATCGTGCGGTTCAGATTATCGGCAACCTGTTGTCGGTTTTCAGAGCTCAAGAGATGAAACATTGGGGATTTCTCAGGGTCTTCATAAGCCAGCAATGCCATTACGTCCTGCCTCAGGGAAACAAATTGGGGTTAACTAACTCTCCCATCATTTGAAAGAGCAGAAAACTATAATATGCCAATATATCAAGACTGATATATTAAAAAATCAAACAGGAATCAGACTTACTTCAAGTTTTTCTACATATTTTTGGGCCTTCCCAAAAGGAGCCAATCTTGTCTGACCAAATTCAAGAGCTTCTGCACTGCACATGCAGAGGACACCATTTGTAAGATTCAAGGCACTGTGAAACCTGAGATCCATATGGCAAACAAATCATAATCTCTCACCAATTCCCAGCACAGGCTAGCTCCACAAAATGAAGACACAGAAGATCAAAGTGCAAATCCTTGTTTTTCTCAAGCAAGTCTTGTGCTAGTTGTTCAGTTAGTTCAACAGCCTTCAACGCCTTCTTCTCCAGTATAAAATGTATTATTTCTGAATTATGTAACAATCAATCCAAAAAGCATATAATCACAGAGTGAATAAGCATCATTTAACACAGCAGTTCAAAAGACGAAAAAAAGAAGTTGTACTCACGTTTTCTTCTCTCCAAATTGTCACGATCAATTGCCGGTTGCTTTATTCCAGTACTAGAAGCAAGCGAGTCTGCAGTTTCGCTGAAGCAGTTGTGCAGAAGATATGACATTACAATGCTGTGAGTATCATTATCATTAACAACCTGTTAAGATATGAAAAACAAAGTTTTCAGATTTCCACAGTTCGATATAACACTGCAATACTAAGGTGACTTGTATCAGTACTGAACTGTGCAATCTTAAGCATGACTTTATTGTTAATAAGACATCATCAATGGAATCAAACAACCACCAATTCTTCTCGAAGATCAAAATTCGATTTCTATTCTACTTCAGTGAGCAAACTGTTAATAAGCAATACACTTATTTGAGTGAAACTATACAAATTTGCTTCGAATCATTATAAGTTTGAGAAGAGCACGATCTATTTCATAGTAAGAGCAACCAATACACAAGACGATAAAACAATGCATAAACCATTGATATATTGCAGAGACCTAACCAGAAAAACTTTCAATAATCAATTACACAATTCATGGAGTAGGATCGTAATTCCATTTCTGAAATCTGGAGAGAACCCAATAAACATTACACGCAGAGACGAAGTTAGGATTAACTTACGATGTGTTCAAATTGACGAGGATCCATATTTATACCGATGATCCGTGTAATGCTCCGGTAAAATCCAGTCGTCTCCGGCGCGATAAATCAGATTATGATTCTCCGACGACGGCGAGGAAGAAG